AAATTTTGTCATCTAGAATCGAGGTCACTAAAGTGGTCATGCCAAAGCACAAAATAAAGACCACTGAAATACATACACGAGCTCTACTGAAGCATTCATAAATTGTTTGGGCTCGATTGTATGCACCATTTTTTGAAAGGATTAGGATTAGAATAAATTCTCTCCGGGTGAGTTATCCTGGAAGTACTATCAGCATCAAAGGAATTGTGCAATTAGTTAAGTGAGTTGGCCCATAACAAACACGTATAAAACTTATTATTGCCAGGTGAGGATGCAGGGGTACGAAAGGCCGCCTGAAGTGAAATGAGCAAAACCCTTGGTAATCATTAAGCAATCCCAGAGGAAAGCAGCTTGTTGTTTATTAACAAGATGTTAAATATATTTACCTACATTTCCCCTGAATATCAAGTGGTCCGTCATCCGATGAAGCAACTCTGGAATAATAGATCAGGCTCAAGATCTGCTTGTTCTGAAGGATGAAAAAATGAGAGATTATTTATTTGTTTGGGGAAGAAGGTGAAATATTTTTCTTTGGTGCTCATTTCACTAAAGTGCTTGAGGAACAGACAGAATTTGTAATGCTTTGTACACGAAATTATGTGTGGCCACTTAAGTCCATCATCAGAAAAAGAAAACCAGGCTTTGATGATCTTAAGTTGTTTATGGATTAATTTGCTCCTCAAAATCTAAAGGGCATGAATATCATTATTATTATTCAAAACTCATCGCAAAAAATAAATGGTCGATGAGAAGAATTTGTCCAGCAGCAGATGTAAATATGAAAATCATTATTGACATATTTAAGAAATGATAAGTTTTGTACGGGTTCCATGTAACTACATATCTTTAATAGGACTTTTTGTAGAGTTATGCTTCCTATATAAATTCAATGTTGAACCAGAATGAAATTGAACCGTTCTTTTCATTGATGATGCGTAGGTGAAAATTTATTTCTTCAATTGTCGATGATCATGTTGCCACTCTTTATTCCAAAGCACATTTTCTACTTTTTTCTAAAATTCATACGAAAAGATGTGAAAAGCTACGACCGATGCATTATTCAGTTCACTTTATGGACTACCACCACGACCGATGTCTTTCCACAGTCAAACTGCCTACTGCTGCAATCACCATTACATAGAAATATATGTACACTTTTGCTGTTCAATTCAGTAAAAATCTATTCAATACATTCTTGTTCTTGCCCTTAAGTAAGCCCAACAATGGGTCATCAAATCGTAAAGTTGATATGCGTCCCTTTTCACCAAATTATCCATTACTCGATACATTACACCTTTGGGAATGCACAGTTGTTGATGGTGACACTCCTCTCGAAACCTAATACGTTCTTTTGACCATTCTCCTGACAAGGTGTGAGTGATCCGTAAACACAGATTTTCGATGTGCCTTTGACGGTTCGCTTTTGTTCTGGTGGGTGAAGAAGTCTGCCTTAAATCGGAGGCTTATACTCTCCTTTGAATCGTGAATTGTATTTACGAAATATTGAATGGAATCATTGGTCCTAAAATCCTTTCAATTCTTTAGAATCGTTTTTGCGTACTGCGATTGGTAATAATAATGTCGAGGTTAAGAATCACCAGGGGGAGAAGGATCCTCATTGCTCTTTTCAATATATTTTCCCTTATTGCATAAGATTGAAGGAATAAGGACGTGTGGCTCCAGGTTTATTGGTGTTCAGCAAGTAACATGAAAAGTACATGTTTTCGGGCCTTAAGTTTCTATTGAAATTTGAACCAAATTTTCTGAACTACTTGTTGACAGTTTTTTTATCAAAATTGAAGAATGAACCAAACCATACAGACCTATTTATAAATAATACTTTTTCAAATCTTTTTCGCCTTGTTCAAATTGTTAAATTCATATAATGTCGAGTATATTTGCTAAAGATGAATGTATATTAAACACCTTTTCTTAAATTCGACTTTGTGGAAGGTTGGCAAAGTATTCACCTGGGCAATTTAATACTGGTGAAATTTAGGGTGTGAGAAAGTAGTTATCCAAGTGGATAAAACAGTTTAACCAAATGGCTCCTGTATTTGAGAGTGGAATGGTTATATTAGCAGTACAAACTCTTCCACGTGCACAATAAAGAACGATCAAGCCCAACATAACATCCACGCACCATTAAGAATAGCAACAATTGCTCATGCAATGTCGCATGAGATTGGACTTCGTCATTTTTAGCACACAACCAATTTCGTCGTTTTTCCTCCATGCATCCATGCTTATAGTTTCTACTTCTTGTCCACTGCCCACGTCCAGCTGCTCCACAATTTTGTTTCTGCGATTGTATCCTCGTACTTCCATTCGACACGTAATAATACCCAATTCAATATAAAATGATGTATTCATTACATAAAAGACATGGCTTTCCTTCATTTTATGGACAAAACAGAGCACTGGGAATTCGAGTTTTTGTGCGCAGCGTATAAATTGGTTGGTTTCGCTCCCTTTAATTCCATCCACCCTGCAATTTCTTATAGCCGCAACATGGCTTCTGGACTGAGTGAAATTTCTTTCTTATTACGTCTATTTTATTTAATGATACAGTTTATGATGATTGAACCGTATATGGAGGACGAGTTATTAATGGAATTAAGGACAAAAAGACCCAACACCTACTCCAGAACCCAAAAGGACGCCGAAACCAGGACGATACGATTTCGTTCTCATGAATTATTCTCATTCTCCTCACTTCACCTAGATACCAGGAGCAAATGACTCAATTTATGTGCCTTCGCACCGTTATTATAGGGTGAAACCCTATTATGGATGTGCCTTGTCCGTCTGTCTGTCTGTCTGTCCGTTCGTGCTCTAACTATTGAACGGATTCGAATTTCGATATGCGGTTTTCGCCATCGTGTTTCTAATTTTAAAAGTACGGGCAAGTTCGAAGATGGGCATTGTAGGTCGTAAGGTCACGTCGCCACGGCGACGACGCCAACGTTCAAAGATGTCGAATTTTTTGTTTCGACCGTTTTAGACGTATTTTGGGGCGGGGATTTCAAAAATCGACATGGTTTTGACGTGCGATGACCGTGTGACCGTGTAGACGGACAAAAAATGTCGAATTTTGTCTTTTCAAACGTTCTAGACGTATTTTGGGGCGGGGATTTCAAAAATCGACATGGTTTTGACGTACGATGACCGTGGGGATGGTATTTACGTAAAATATTTCCCTTATAAAAAGTTATCTCATGTGGTTTCACCCTATTGCTACATTTCGTTTGCAACGGTTTATTCTCACTCACTTTGATACGGTGTTGGTCCTGCTCGTAATAAGTGTTCCCCATGAACACTGGAGAGCAGTCATGATTTGATTTTGGTCCATTATGTGTCGGTGGAGAACCTGGAACTTTAAACAGATTTTAAGCTAATTGGGGGAATAGTAGTAATAATACATAGTACTACATATAGTAAGAACGTGTATAGCTAACAAGGGAAGGTCCCCGACTGCTTATCGTGTCCAGGGTACCCACTATGTTTTTTAGAATCTACTAGGACCCCAGATGAAGGATTCATTAATATTTCCGTGTAAAACTCATATTTGGCGCCATGGCGTGGCGCCAAACTTAAAAATTTGCATTTTCGACCAATTTCAAACCCTCGTAACTTTTGCAGTTTATGTCGGATTTTCAAATTTTTATGCTTAAAATGATCACAAAAGTCGAATTTTTGGAGAAAAAAATAAAAATAAAAAATTTCTAATTTTTGAGATATTTTTCGCATTTTTTCGACGAACCCCCATTTCTAAGAAAATTTCGAAATTTTGCGAAAAGTTAAAATCGATGATTTTGGAAAAAATTTCATGGAATACGAAAGTTGAACTCCTGGTCATGATTTTTGCCAAAAGTTTTTAAAATCCGTCCAGGATTTCAAAAGTTATGGCGGTTTCAAAAATAAAAACATTCAAATTTGGCGAATTTGGCGCCACGCCGTGGCGCTAAATATGAGTTTTACACGGAAATATTAATGAATCCTTCATCTGGGGTCCTAGTAGATTCTAAAAAACATAGTGGGTACCCTGGACACGATAAGCAGTCGGGGACCTTCCCTTGTAAGAAGATATTAGTTTCGGTGGTCTGTGTGGGACTTCCATGCATACCTGCATAAATACGCATTCGAAAAATCTCCTCCCCGTTCTTTGTTCTTGGAGAAACAAGGATTGAAATTTAAATAGATTAATGGACAAAGTTTAAGTGACCCGACTCATTTGTGAGTTTACCTGCTGGGAGATGATGGCGGTGTGACCTCATTATTTATTCCAGGCCAGAGCTAAAGTTGAGTGACGTATCTTTCTAACTCTCTCACGCTGCAATTTGTCCCAAAGTGCAACTGAGCATTCATAATTACCTGCACATACCAATCCATTGCGCAGGTGGCAACAAAAATATCCAGAAGCTACTCTTCCAAACCGAATAGCTGAATGATCATCTGCAGCACAAATGGTAGTCGTATACTCGACTATTTCAATATAAGAACTAATAAATGCGTAGAGTTTTTAACACATTTTCTTCACAATGTGTCTTAAACGTCTTTGGGTAAAGCTAATCTTAAGCATGTACATATATGAAATGCAATCTGGTGATATACATCCACAAACTATGCATGGAACACAAAATACTGTGGTGAGTCATGATATGAACTCCAATTAGTTAACTAGTAGTACTTGCGTATTTGACACGAAGAACAAAAGAATATCCATAAACTGTATACGATACAGCGATCACGTATGTAAGCAAGTTACTTAGCAGAAATTGTAGAGGTTTTCGACGGTTTTACGATATACTTATATAATTAATTGCACCACACTATTCATTTATGTTAAATATATATTACTAAAAATGAATGAGAATTATTTTAGCATTGGAATACTGTTGATCTGTTTTAAGGTAAACTCCGTGAAGTAAAATTCTGCGGTAATTCATATCAATCTTCGTCAGAAGTACTGTGAATTACTGGTAGAGAAAACAACAAAATTTCCATATGCACATTTTTATTGTAAAATAATTATTAGATGCACATACCACAAAACACAATAAATCTAAATAGTAGGAACACAATACCGGTTAAAGCAATGGAAACTTTAGGCAACTGTAATTGAGTATAAAATATCGTTTCCACTCGTCACAATTATGTACATATGTATATATTTATATCTATCATATAAATCAGTCTTAATTGCTCAATGGAATCTAACAAAATAGCTTAATTTTTAGACTACAGCTTATTTTAGGACAAACCAAAACATTTTTTTGGTCGCGTTGTTCTCTTCAAGAGAATCTATATATTTTCTAAACCCACATAGAAAAATTCCAGACATCATGACAATTGCTCCGACAATGCTTATCAAGTCGGGAAAGGTTTGAATAAAAACCATTTGCCATAAAAACGCAAACAGAACGTCCGAGCTCTTCACAAGTGCGACAGGGCCTGCATTATCGCATTTCAACGCAAAAATGAGAAACAACTGACTTCCACAAGACAACAACCCAATTGCAAACGCTTTGAGTATGTCAATGTCTTGCGAGGGGAATTCGAGAACATTGAAGCCCCACGCAAGAGCTCCAGCCTCAGCCGTTCCAAACATCCCAAATCCAACTAATGTGATACAATGATGAATCTGATGCAGGTGTCGAATCATCACAATTGCCATCGCCATAAAAATCGAGCATCCTAAGGCCAATCCAGCACCAATCTGCAAGTAAAATAGTTATTACTCCTGGTTCATGAGGAGCACAAGCATTAATTTGTGATAATATATACCAATAACTCCGAGTTAACTTCGCCTCCAAAAATAAACGGGGGCCTCGATACTGCAACCAATATTTAAATAAATGGTTAAATCTTTGTTTAAGTTTCCTACTGTACAAAACACAAACATGAATCCACCCAGGTGGAGATTGCACATATTAACACGCATGTTAAATTATTATTTTATTTGATGAATTGCCATCAATTAAGAATTATTATTCTGCGTCTGTCATTGATTGAACAACTAATAAAAGTGTGAAGCGCAGTGCATTTGAATCAAACATATTTAAAAATGCACTCCAGTTATTTTTTAATTCAGTGCAACTGCTCTTGCTTCATTTTCATACTACGAAGAATTTAATTATCATGCCACACAATGCACTTTAAATAATTCTTACCAATCCCAACCCCACACAAGGTCACCATTGTTGAGAGAAGCATAAACAGTCCTCCAAATGGCTCACCCAGAAATACACTCGCGAAAATAGTTACAAAAATCGGGTAGCAGTTGCAAATAACAGAAGAGTCTCCTAATGGCATGTACTTCAACGAGTAGTACTGAAGCGTTGCTGCCGTACATCCAAAAAAGCTGCGAAACTGTAAATTTTGTAGACGAAAATAAAAATACGGTTACAATCTACAAAAAATAAAATAAAAACTAACCGCTAGAGAAACGAAAACTATGAACGAATCATATCTTATAGGCCAAAACGAGTCTGTAATTGACTCCTTCTTAAATGCGTAGTAAATGACCACAAAAATTGAAGGCACTGAAATTGAACGCGTAGTAATTTATTTAACGTCTTGATTGCCTTATAATATGTGCGACATACAAAATGTTCCAGCAAATCTCCAAAATGATTTGGTTATGGGATGAAATTGTGTCATTCTTGACACCATCATTGTTCCCAACGAAAGCAGACAAGAAGAGATGAAGCATAGAAACATCCCCATAAAACTTGATCTGATATAGAGCTAAATACGTTCAAATCGTTCATATATAATTATTGTTTTGTTAATTAAGAGATACGGAAATAAATATAATTAGTTTTATTACGCTTAAAAAATTGGCATACCTTCATGTTGATTATATTTTGAATGTTTAAGCACTTACAAGAATTTCTTTTGTAACCGGATTAATTATTATTAGGTTCACTTAACTTGAATGTTTCACGAATATATGTAAACAATGTGATATACCGATTTATGTGTGTATATGTATTATTTTTAACATCCGAAAATTGAAAAGACTTCCTGCAATCACCTCACGAGACAACGGGATATTCACAAGTGGACAAAATTAGTCTTCACCAAAGTCATTTATCATTAGAAAAAAAATGTCTTAAAGGATGTGCTCTTGATGTAAATTTATAATTCAGACGTAAGCAGCCAAAGGTGCTTTACGCATATTAAACTGTCTTCCACGTAAACGACTTCAAGTTGCAATTAACAATACTAACGAACGTATGAGTTAAATCATTCCGTGGATATTAATATTTTTTAATCCACGGCATTGCTTTTCATGGCGTAACAAACCACCAAAATTAAATGATTCCTCGTATTCATATTGGTTATGTTGATTAAGCATTCATGTCAGCACACAATTTTCAGTCGGTTATTGTAGTGAATTGAATTGGTAACGAATACAAAATCATTCCTATCCGGGATGCAATAATAGTTTGATAAAGCTGAACTAGATAAGGTGAAGGTGGTGCACACAACAATGTAACGATCACTATATTGCATGTCATTCAAAATGTGAATCATTCATGACGAGTTAGTTTAATTCTTTACTTTATAACTTTTGTCCTAAAAATACTCAAATTTTAAGTTCAAAGTCGGGTTCCTGAAAACCATGCATGGCTTACGTCGTGATCACGCGTATTTGTATTTTCATAACGTGTGCATATAGCTTGTTTGTCAATTTTGATTATCTTTTGGGGTATAATACTCGTTAGGAAAATCCAGTTCTGAATTATTTTTGAGTACATCCATTATCATGCATATTTAGCTCTTTACGCTGGTGGTGGATTCAATTCATGGAGAAATTGACAACACTTTATCCAGTTTCTTTCAGAAGCAACTATGAAGTAACGCAACATCAGGTGTTACGATTCCGATAAACAAATATTGCACAAAGGTAACATTGCATGAAATAGTGATGGAGAGCATTATATCAATATTTCCCAGCTCTATGAATTGCAAAATAATCCACTTGACAATTAAATTCATAAATAGCTCAAATTTTTAATGCTGCGTCACTCAGTTCTTATATTATGAAGGAAGGTATGTTGTAAACGCTCATCCTGGTTGGTTGGTAATTCCATTCCAGCCGTCCGTACTGACATCAATTGGTAATTTAAATTTTAAATTTTAAATTATTCACTTGACAGAAACTACAGTTATACGTTTTTGTCATTTTTAATTATTTATAAATTTTCATCACTGTTTATAATATTTTTAAACGTCGGTTACACAATATCCGCCCAAATTTTAACTTTATCCAGAATTGTGTTTTCTGTAAAGCATTTTGCGAGAAATTGATTGTGATCCAGCAATTAAGGAAATCATTCGTAAAATAGATTATACACTTCTTAAACTATTTGTTTGACAGAGTAGAACATGTAAATGTATGTAAGGCGTAGACGTAGATGAGATTAGCACTTGTAAAAACTGATTTTAAACTTAAATAACAAATATTTAAGATAAGAGGCACGATGAATTCACGTACGTCTAAATACGCCAGGATTTCCTAGCCACTGCATCTTTCATCGTTAAATAGATCTGGAAATATAATAGACTTTATTAGGTAATAAAATTGTAACATTAATACGAAATTAAACAAAGCCAATATGCCAGTAATTATGATTTTAATATGCACATGCAGTAGGATGGGCTGCATATGTATTATGAAACGAAATATCATTGAATATACAATAAAATCACTGTTGGGGTCAAATTTTAACGAACTCGGTAAATTACTATGCGGGCGACGAGACATGGTGCAATTTGTCCACTGCTGTTTTAGTAGAAAATTCAAGTAAGCTTTTATCTATTTTATAAAAATTCATATTATTAAAAAGCCACATGAGAAAATGCATTTCTTTATTTCATTTTCATTTATGCAACGATTCTAGTTAAACAAGGCCATTTAAAAATTATCGTTGACATTATACGTGGAATAATTATTTAATGTCAAATAGTTGATGGTTGACCTCATTCTGACGAATAATTATTAAAGTTTTGCTCATTTCAAATGTGTTTAGATAATTTTGACATTGAAATGTGCTGAAAATTTTCCGGAGAAAATGCTTTCATTCTATAAAGTTGGGTATATGTACATACATAAGTGTTGCCTTAAGTTCAACATCCACATTTATTTATGTAGGGCTGATTCATCAGACGAAGAATCATCATATATCAAGTCCAGAATTGGTCCTCCTACGGCAATGAACACCGATTTTCAGGTTTAGAAGACAAAGGAAATTTATAAGCATGTCCCATCATCTTGTGTGAATTAGTTGGTAGCAATGAAAGGACGTACGTCAACAAATGCTAAAGATTAATTGCAGGTTCTCTCAACCAGTGAGTATCTGTATAAGTTGCCACAGACGTATACATAAAATCTTGACAATTATTAGGAAGTAGGTACTAAGAAAGCCATGAAGATGAACGGGTTTCAAGTGGACTGATTTTGTTGACTCATTCTTTCACTTTCCAACTACTCATCCCAATCAAAGAAAGAAAATATTTGTTTTCATGAGATCGTGCTATCGAAGACATGGACGAGCAATAACAAGCCGAGATTTTCATCACAAATCAAAATAGTTTCAGACATCGATTTTTGTCAGTTGCTACTAAATGTGTATGGTAAGCAATTCTCCTACTGGTCTGCTGATACCATTTAAATAGGTAACACTGCGACTTCTTATCTTGGACACCTGCACGTCGAATAGAGCCCAAGAAGTCAGACTATCAGTTATTAGATAAATGCAGAATTGCATTGTGCTTGCATTTCCATATAATAGATTACATGTGCATGTCATTTTTATCACATTGCTCTAGTTTGGTCTCACGCTTCATCGATAGTACATAATCTTGTTGCCTGAAGCGTATTTCTGACTGCTTTGTGTGTTTATATTTACCAAGGACATTTAATATGTATTTGTACATATATTAAGCTACAATCTTTGACTTCCTTTCTTTCTCTTTAGATTTGAGTTGCATACGTTTTAAAACTCTTTCTCTAATTAAGCTTTTAGTTATAACATGCATAGCTTATGTAAACATAGGAAAAACTTTTTTAGTAAACCTTTAAGGTAAATATAATTTGGCTCTGGTGAATTATTTGTAAAGTGAAAATCTTCCGCTTGCAGTTGTGGTGTGTCGTTAAGTCTTTGTGATGGCACGTGTCTCTTAATTTTTCAACTTTATCCATCCGCAGATACATTACGTCACTAATCACCAATTTCCATTACATCACTTTGCCCTTATCCTACTTGCGATAGGTTTCCTCATTTATTTTCACACCATTAGTATGAGCAAGATAAACTCTGGCAAATGAAACTAATAAATGCTTACGTTCCTCCATTTCATGTTATTAATCTGATCAGGTTTACCTTATTCAGTTCATCGATTTTGCCAAGTGGACGTGAAACACTCACAGGCAGCCCTTGCATTCAGATTTGAGCATGAAGGGAGATTGGGAATTTAACACTTCTCATGGTTCTCTCTTATTCTCTTCCATCCTCATCCACTTAACAAGTGTCGATGTCTTTGGTAACTTTGGTTTGGTGTCGGTGGAGCAGAAAGTTTAAGCAATTACTGAAATAGAATTCATCTAATACTGGGTTTGATCAGAGAAGCGCGCTGAAGCAATTGTGCTTATCCAGCATCCCCTCACACGCTCTCGTCTCTCGTCGCTTTGTTGTCTCATTTCATTTCGACATTGTGCATTGCCATTCATTCGTCATTTGCACCCTTGCTTTCGAACTACCGAAGCAGATCCAGAGGAACAACATCAAAAAGTGCGAAACGAGATCCCATCAACTACACACAAGTGCACACATCCAATTCCAATCCATTCCATCTCAACAAATTTTATTCCTTTGGCTTCGATGATAATAACGACATCAGTTCTCGCCCTCTTCAGGCAGTGGCGCTACCCTCTCTTTCTCCCATCAAATCTCAATCATCTTAATTGTTGGTGAGCTGCTTTCACAATTCCCAACTTTCCGTTAACACGAATTGCAGACCGTCGGAGTAAAGTAGTCGATGCGACGACTTTGATACCTCATATAATGCACTTTGAATTCCCTTTTCAAAGGTATCAACTTCAATTAAAAAACTTTTATGTTGACTGAGAGACAATCGCTTCCCAAGCAAGCGTCTGATCTACTAATGTGGCTGATGCATTTATGTCTGGAGCAAATACTTATATATGTATGTTACTTACTCCAGAGAGAACTTTCTCTGAATAGCGTCATGCTAAAATTTTAGAGTTGTGCGTATGCATGTATCTCAAATGTCTACGCAAGAAACCCTTATTTATTGTATCTGACCGGTCTTATTAACAACTTTCACACAGGCTCCTCAGTTTTTTGCTGGTTCGTACGTAATGATTATGGATGGCGGAAAAAATTGGATGGTTGTGTGTCATTGGTTGGGTGGGGGATTGGTATCAACAAAGCTGAGCCTTATTTAGTTCGAGAGTAATCTTCATTGCTTTTCGCCTCGTACAAAGGGATGGGGTGGGAGAGGGTGTCGGGAGAAAGATCTAATGCCCGGGTGAGTAGTGGTGTGGTGGGTAAGGGTCGTGTGACTCGGTGCAAGTTAGAACAACCAAACGCGAGTAAAGTGCTCCAAGCCAAAGTGAAATTGGGAGAGGGCGAGGGCGCTTTATCCCTCCGTCCTCCTCCTCCCCCTTTATTATTACCATTCGTTCGTACAAGACGCACTTTTATACGATTTTGTCCGGCTGGACTATTTGGCTGCACTAATGTCAAGCAATAACATTTTATACGTGAAATGATAATATGTGTAATGCTTGCAGGGAATTGTCCCATTTGCCAACAGTGAGATCAAAAGGACTTAATCTTGTAATGATCAGTAATATCACTGCAGGATGAGATTGGCCAATAAATAGGTGTGCACATCATGCATTGTATCTTCTTATTGTTAGTATGTATATCAAGAGAAGGTGCTGCAAAATTATAAATATATGTATGTATGAAAATGTGTATTTTAAGTTAAATCCTTTTAAATATGTATGACCTAATAAAACTAAAATTTTACGACCATTGTATGTTTATGCATTTCTTGTATCCAGAATACGCAAGAATACGAATATATTTGTACTTATATATGTAAGGCTTCGGATCCACTATTAGAACCTCCAAAATTTTCATTGTTTTTTTTTGTCAGAGGGAAAAGTGTCAAAGAGCTTTTTCATCGTCGCTCATGTGGAATGTGTAACAACAAGCTCATTGATGATTTATATTGATCATCATTATCCAAGCAGTGAATATGTATGCACACCTTATTTGCTTCCATCGATGGATATGGCCGAAGATTAGTGTCACTGTTATTGGGAAGTGTGACAAATCGTTACCTTTTTTGGGGAATGGTGTCCTTTTTATTATTTGTCCTCCTCTCGAATACATTTGAAACCCCTCCTCTGAAAAAAATGTAGTAATTCATTAATGCATCATTTGCTGAACTGCTGCTGGACTGATTTGATTTAGTTTTCATTATTCGAATTTAGCTTTATTATGAAGCTAATATATAATTGAAGCAAGAACCAAGCAGGTGGACAGCTGCTTTGCGTATATGGAATTTACGAACGATAGAAATAGCACACCCCTTATCCCTAACCTGGACATCAATAGTCATCATCAGTGACATGTGAAACTCTATTTATCATACCATCGAGCAGAGAAAGCATCCCAAGCAACCAAAATCTGCAACTATTGTACTAAATTTGTACAACTGGATTAATGCATATTTTCCGTGAAAATGTGAAGCCGACTTGTGATTATTTTGTACAAGTCGCATGTACAAAATTCATACCAATAATTTGTCACTACAAGTTTACTTGTACCAAATATGCACAAAATTAACACAAACAAATATGTGAGAATTTTGTGTAAATTTGGTGATGATTAATATGCATTAATGAAGTGAGAATTTGGTGCGAATCTAGTGCGAATTTAGTGCGAATCTATTGCTAATTGTGTGCTAATGGTACGCATGAAATTAATACAAATTCATTTATACGTATTACTCATAGTTCAATTATTATTTATTTATTACAAATTCATCTACTGTATTTCTACAATAATGTTATCTCCAAATACTTCACTTATTAAAAGATAATTGCAAATTGGGATACACAAATATTTATCGTAATTAATCTGCAGAATTCGTACTTACGGAGTATAGAGAAAGACTAAATTAAAATGAATTCCTGGACAATATTTCCTTATTCACCTCAGGCTCTTCTGCTGATAATTTAGGCTGGCCGTTTGTCGACATGAGTCGATAGGTTTATTCCTTATACATATGTGTTCTCAACGTATGAATCTATAAATTATGCAAAACGTATATTTTATTTACATAAATAACCCGAATATATATTAATGCAAAAGTAGCTAACAACAATATGTATGTATATATGTAATTACCGTATTTTCCGGCATATAACACGCCATTAGTCGTCCAATCTTTTGAAATCCACGTAGACGGCACAATCTTGGCCCTTTGTCGACTTCAAACTTGATGAATACGAACTTTTGTCCGACATAAGATCGACCCTAACTATCTATCTAAATAAATTTTTTCGTTGGAAATTAAAAATGGAGAAGAAATGATGGAGTTGATGTCACGGCATGGCAAAAAGAATAACTGACTTGAGGTGGGTTTATTTAATCGCCAATAGAGAAATGTTACTAATTTAGTAGTAAATGATTACAGAATAATCGGTACGAATTTCGTGTAAATATACTGGCACCTGTTTACTGCATTTTGATTTTGTACAATTTCCCACGTACGAATTATGCATGAATTTGGTGCAAGAAATCTCATGAAAATTTAGTGCTAACAAATACGCACTAAATATTCACTTGTTCCTTTGTAATAATTTGCTACTTATTAAGTTGTGATAGTTTAGTGGATTTCTTGTGCTAATTTATTAGTAGCACAAAAATTGATACACATTTTGCACGAATCTTGTACAAATTAATGATTACAACTTTTTATGCACAAAAATTGCATAAACTTGCATTGGAATTCGCAGTAAATTCGCATTGAGGTTGCTTGGGATAGTTTGATATCAATTACAATTCTAAATTCCATGATCCACGTTGGATTAAAACTAAATATAGAACCTTTAGTGCTTTTTTAGATCGCTGGCTCACTCCAGGTGAGCGCATAGAAACTTGTTGACATAGAACTTGGCAGATGACCTGCCTCAAAAAAACCCCAACGAAGCCCTTTCAGAGTTAAGCCTTTCATAGAGCCCTTGGAAAATTTTCAAGTGCGAGTGGGACATCGTAAGCGTAAAAGGAGATTGAAATTTGATAGCCTTCATGGATCATTCCCACTCGGTTAATGCCATTTGACAATTTATTTTCATTTTGGTACAAGTCGATGTAATTCTCATCCAATGGACCAACCCTTGTCACTTTAAGAATAGATCAGGTCAGTAAAGTTAACGTAAAGAATAATCTTTGATCAGGCCCACCAGCAGAAGATTAGTCATTTGATAAGGTCATTATGTCAATTTCATATCATATTGACCATCCAACCAACCGACATAAATATTTGTGGCTGCGAGTGACCGATAAAATCTGAATTTCTCTCTCGTCTATTCTGAAAGAAAAAGTAAGGCTGAGGAATCATCAGTTAAAAAAGGTTTGGTCCTTTCTCAAAATTGTATTCTTTCCAGAAACATGCCGTTTGCACATCATCGCATTTCTCCAAACAACCAACCCGACAACTCGTTAAGAAATTCTTGGCCTTCTGGCATTCATTTACTTAAAAAACTGAAAACCTACTAAACTAATTCCATCTGGCACTTTCCTCTCCATTTTTTCAATAGACAGCTGCATTCCCCTCTCACTCACTCTCTCTTCAAATCTCTTCAAAATTTCTTACATTCTTAAAAAAGACCCATAACCAGAGCACCAAAGTGTTGTCCCACTATTTCCTTAAAAGAACCCAAATCAACCCACAAAGTTGAGTTAAAGGTGGTCCACCTCGATTCGGTCCGGTCACGGAAAATTGTCGTCACCCGGGTCCATCCATTTGATGAAGTGGAAAGCTAAAGGTCAACTGTGTAAAGCACCGAGCCCTCTTGAGAATATACTCTTTTCACTCATTTAGCTCTCTCACGACAACAATAATATTCGTTCATCATTAGTTCCAGTTTTTGCCGACAAGGGACCCATCATTACACGTTCCAAATGCGAGAGATATACGCTATTCTTGGTTTTCCCTCGAAGTAAAATAGCACAAGCCCAGATTTGTATTAGCTGATGAATTGATGAAAATGTTTATATATTTAATACAATCACTACCCTGCAAGGACCCCATAAATCCCTCATGAAATGGAAGCCAGAGACGAGGCTGTACGCCTAAATATATATATAAATACATATGTGTTGCTCAAGGAAAAGAATGTTCACGTAAAGTCCAAGCCCCTACTAGACGGTGAACTTCATTGTCAGGTTGGTTAGTTCATAAATCGCGACGGGGACAATGGACAAGGCGAAGGGAGCGTAAATTACGAACCAAGAAAGACTGAGTTTTCAATTCTCAGTCTTCAATGGAAAAGTTTTTACATTGCATAAGACCACAAGAATCGGTGTAAAGGAAACTATTTTGATGAAGGCTTAAGGAAAAGTAAATTCAACTAAAGCGACAAGGCCACACACGCATTCACAGGAGACACTAAAAACACTAGAAAAAACCCAACCATCATGAATAAGATATGTGCTTTTCGTTTCCATTTGGGTGTACCAACCGCTGGCTTAAAGGTCATTTCGAATTATTTAATGACATCTAATCAGCAATTTAGGGTCGTGTTCATGTCCTTTTTTGTCATTGTCGCATCTGGACTTTAGTCGAAGAGAAAAATATATTGCGGTTGACTTTAGATGTTGACTTGCACAACAGTGAAAATGATCGTTTCGATTGTCATTAATATTTCAGCCTTGTAAATGGACAATGGCAGTGGAGGGTTTATTGAGCTCTCGGTCTGCGAATGGATTGTCGCTGTCTTTGTCCTTCAAACTTGTGGGGCAGTTAAAAGTTGGACTTTGGGATAGGTCAGCCGTTGTATCATTAATTTTACAACCCATGTTGAAATTATGCAGTTGTTATTAATTTACGCAGCACCCTTTGACATTTCTTCATACCGATTGTTATATATAATTTTTGTATGTAATATACTGCGTTTGGTTAAGCTTGGTTAGCTCCATATTCCTGTAGAATTACGTTAGATTAGAATCCATTAGAATTTATTTACTAGAATAGAATGATACGTAGGCGGTCTATTTACACTGATTTGAGTAAAATAAATTAAAACAACCAAAAATAGGAAAAGCATGGACAAAAACTGCACATACTCGTATTGTCTGTGATTTCTGTATTTATTTGCTTTGCTTAATACCAATCCCTTGTAATCAAAGATTCATTGAGATACAAGTATAAAAGTTTGATCCCAACCCTAAAGTATCATTAGTACCGGCATGTTGGATAGTGCAGCCACAAGTAAAGCTTGTGATGAGATTGAATGCAACCAAACTTTCCTTGTTTTCATCAATAATTAATTCAACAGATTTTGGTGCGTCCATGCTGTTAACATAACAAAGTAGTTTGTTGCTTTGTAGGTAAATGCTGGGCTGCATCAGCAACCATCATTCCTGTCCCCCTTTTATTGCACTCACGTTTACCTCAGGGAATTTGCCCAAATGACGAGGAAGTGGAGGAAGTGGAAAGAGACCAGGCAGGCCAGCAAGCGAGAATTAGACCGATGAGCTTTGCCAGCAGGATTAAGAGAATTTCCTTCCTTGCTCCTCACGAAATGAAATATCATAAACTGAATTGTATTGTGCTTGGGTGAATTTTCGGTAAATTGGTTGTTGGATGCCCGTTCTGTGGGACAGAGGTTCATTAAAGTTGAATCAACTAATTTAGATGGCTAGACAGCGGAGCGGTGGATATGATCTTTGCCAGTTTGCTTAGGTGGAGGTCGTGGTCGTGGTGAAGAGATCATCCGACCGAAACTGATGGA